GTGTACTTCTGGTGGGGGAGATGGCCAGCCTGAGCTTCTGTCCTCTGAAGTTCTTTTATTGCTTTTGAAGTTGAGTCTGGGGGCCTGCAAGCTTTCACTGCTCCCCAGGATCAGGAGAAGTCTGCTTGCTGGTCTCTTGGTCAGAGTTCTTGCAATTGCCTGACCCAAATTTGGGCTTCTCAGTTTGTTTCTGGTTGGGAGATTCAGTAGACTGCTGCTGGGCTATTTTCCTTGCTCAATATCCAGCTAGGGCCCGAATTCCTGACCACTCTTCTTGACCTCAGTCTGTGATCAGGAACTGGGTATTGGGACAGAGTCACCATATGGTACCCATTGCTTGTTCAGGGATCCCTTGGGATATTTCTCTGTCCTAAATAGGAGGCCCTCTTTCCATCCCTGGGTGCTGGAGTGCTCCACATTCACACCCTATCCCTGGGGTCCACAGACCTCTCTATCTCCCTAAGCTGCCCTGGGCTGGAAAAAATGATTCGTTATGATTTTTTTTCCTTGGTTTTCCAATCGTAATTGGACTGGCACAATTTCTAAATCTTTGTGGAGAAGGGATAGGTGGGGAGAATCAATTGATTAATTGACTGGTTAATTACTACTTCTTCTCATTCCTCCTTCCCTCCATGACCACTAGTCTGGGACATCAAAAAGGGGTTCTTATTCTGGGAGGGGTTGGATCAGATGACTGAAAAGGGACTCTGTGAGCTGGGGAGAGAGCTGGGTGAGTTTCCTGGGTGACCAGCAGAGCAGAGCCATTCTCCAGGTCACAGAATTGGTCCTGTAAGAGGGGGAAGAAATTGCATCAGCATTTGAGGGCAGGGTCTTACTTCTTTAGCAAGGGGACTTGGACCTCTCCTGTCCCAGACCCGACGGATGGCTGATGCAACCTTGGCCCTCAGCCCAGTCACCCAATGAGAGGTTCTAAATTCCAGATTCCATAGTCTACTAAAGAACTCGGCTGTCCCAGGATGAGTTGGAATTCTGGGCCTGAGCCACTGAGGGAACCCTTTTATCCTTGGCTTCTATGCTGAGCCCCGCATTCCTCTACTTACACCAGCTGCTGAGCTTGGGGAAGGAGCATGGGATAGGATCCACCCAGCTGCCAGTATGTTCCTCCCCCAGAAATTACTCGGTATATATTTTGTATTGAATTTTCTGTGTGTATGTTGTTTTCCATAGAAGACAGCAAAAGCTCCTTGACAGCAGGGATTGTTTTATCTGTCTTTGTATTCTCAGGGCCTAGTACTGGGCCTAGCACAGCTTGGTCAGTCTTTTCCAGTTGTGTCTGACTCTTCATGACCCCATTTGGGGTTTTCTTGACAAAGATAATGGAGTGTTTTGCTACTTTGACAGATGAGGAAACTGAGGCAAACAGGGTGAGGCAAACATGAGTGACTTGCTCAGGGTCACACAGGTAGTGTCTGAGGCCAAATTTGAACTCAGGTCCTTCTGACTGAAGGGCTGGCTCCCTAAGCCAACTCAACCAAAGCCCTCCCAAAGGGAGGAAACAAGTAATCATTAAGCTCAGACCTCAGCCCCTGAAAGTCTCCCCCCTACCCCGCCCCCCGCCCCACACAAAGCCTGACTTTGGACTTCAGCTTGGCCAAATTCTGGCCCCCAGATTTAGAGTCCACTCGTTGTCCTTGGCTTGCTGCTCCCATGACTCCCTCATCAGGGTTATTATATTATGACTATTTCGGAATCAGAGGATTTGGGGTCTAATCTAGGCTCTATGATTACTCCCTGTGTCACCTAGGACAAATCACTTCCCTTGGGGGAGTGTGTAGGGGCGGGTAGGACTTCAATTTCCTTTTCTACCAACTGAAGGTATTGGGCTGGGTGATTTTCTTTTTCTGCTGTAAATCTGTGATCTTACAATCCTGACCCACCCCTGAACCTGGCAACTTGATCATTCTCACTCTTGATCTCAGGCCTCAGTCACCAGCTCCGGACTCTGATTTAGCCCTCCAGGGCCAGCAGAGTGGGAAATTACATCAGGGTCAGAGGGAGGGAGGGGCTTTGCTGCTCCAGGGTGGGGACCTGGGCCTTTCCTGCTCTAGGCCTTCTTGGCTGATGTAACCTTGGCTGCTACTTTCTCTTAGTCCCAGAGATTATTAGCCTTGTTTTTATGAAAGAGACGGACTTCCTACCTCCCCCTTCCCCACCCCCCCAGCCCGGGGCATTTTTATTTCCAATTCACTGGTACTTTTAGCATCCAAGATACATGGCCAGTTCTCCATTAAAGTGGCTCCTGAGACCACATTGTTGTATGGTATTAAGCAGGTATATTTGTACTTGTATCCCCAGTGCCTAGCACACCCTTCATAAATGCTTGCTGATTGATTCTTCTCGAAGGCTATCTGAAGGGAGCACAAGCCTTGGTAGGTCCTGCTCTATTCACTGTGCCACCTAGCTGTTCGAGGATGATGGAAGAGGAGAAAGTCTTGAAGACCACCTACCAAGGCACACAGGTTATAGAAGCATAGATTTTGACCTTAGTGGCCTTCTAGTCCCAAAATGAGGCAAAGGGTCTTGTGAATATGAATCCAGCTATCTTTCTTCTGAACCTCAGGGCATCCCATTATCTTTGTTGGTGGAAAGAGCATCCACACCAAATAAATCCCAGAGCCAGGACCCTGTGAGGGGCTAACAACCAGATTGGAGGCAGGGGCAGGGCTGGCACTGGTCACTTTGTCCCTGTAGAAGGAGGGAGCTGAGGGCCTGAGTTGAAGCTGGTAGACTCAGGAACAGTAATCAGGGCTGGGGGATCAGTGAGAGTACCCTCATTCACTGGCTGCTTCTCCTGGTCCCAGGCCAGATTGAGGACACCAGAAATAGACCCCAGGGTCTTGAGACTAGTACAGTGGGAAGAGTACTGGTTTTGTAATCAGAGAATCTGGGTTCACAACTTGCCACACTCATTACCAGAGTGACGTTGGGCAAATCACAACCCTCTGGGTCTCTATTTTTCCCTCTGTAAAATGAGGGAATTGGGAGTAGATGGTTTCTAAGGTGCCTTCCTGGTCTGGATTTATGACCCTATAATCTTACAACCCTGAGGCCCTGGCCAATCCATGGGCCTGTGGGCCAAGACCTCAGTGACTCTCGCAGGAACTACAGGAAATCAGGCTGTAACCACGAAGCCAGTCCTGGAACTGAGATCTGAACACCTGGCTCCCAGTTTCCAGGGCTGGTCCCAGACGCTGTCTCTGCTGTCCCCTGGTGGTGAAATGCACAAATCTTCATTGCATTTCCCATCCTAAACCCTGCTCAGGACTCCACTCACCTGTGGTGGGCAGGGCTTTCTCTAGTGCAGCATCTCATCACCCCACATTTCAGCTAAGGTAGGGACAGACTTAGGGGCACGGGGCATAGGAGAGAACTCTCCCTCTTCTCCCCCGCCCCGAAATCTCTGGCCATGACTGCCAAATCCTGGCATGGGAGAAACAGCCCTGGGCTGAGTCGGAGGATATAGGCTCTCCACCTGGCTCTGTAATTGACACGCTCTTTGACCTTGGCTGTCATTTATCCTCTCTAGGTCTCGGCTCCCTCTTCTGTAAAATGGTGCGCGGGGACACTGGCTCTCAATCATTTTGGTCTCAAAAAGTTAGGCTTTATTGTCTTAAAAGTGATTGAGGATCCTCCTCTACCCAAAAGCTTTTTTTTTTTTAATATGGGCTATATCTATCAATATTCATTGTATTAGAAATTAAAATTTCAATATTTATTGTAAAAATAGCTTTGACCTTGCAGACCCTCCAAAAAGACTGCACCTTGAGGACCAGTGGATCACGGACCTTAGAAATCATCTTGTACAGCCCCTTCATTTTACAGACAAGGGAACTGAGGCCCAGAGAAAAGTGATCTGTCCAGATGAACACACCCAGTAAGTGTTAGATGCTCCCTAGAATCCACTGCCACCTTCCGACTGGAGATGAAACTTGTCCCAAGGTTACCAGCTTCCTAGTGATGGGCAGCTTGGCAGGGCAGAAACTATGGCCCTGGACTTGGAGCCAGGATAGACCTGAGTTCAGAAACACAGACACACTCAGGGCTGACAAATCAAGAAGCTGGATGAGTCTATACAGCAAAAAACTCAGACATCAGAGCTGTATACAAAGCAGGAAGAGATTGTGTTTGATTCCAATACCACGCACAGAGACAATGAGATCATCCCTAGATGTTCAACTCCTGAAGATCCCCAACCACTCACCCCTGACCAGCCCTCTGGGAAGTTTCTGTGGAAGGCAGAGAGATGGCCAACTGCAGGGTACTTTGTGTCCTGCCTTCTCAGGGAAATGGGCCTCAGAACTGGACCAACCATTGTCAGCAGAGGCCTAACAACTCCTGGTCTCCTGTGGGGCTGAGCTGTCCTTTGATGGGTCTTTTAATGGCTGTATTCTATACCATGGAGCCCATGCCTCTGCGGTGGGGAAATTCCAGGGATGGGGTTGTCTTGGAGCCAAGGGGCACCTTGATTGCAAAGACTCGGGTGTTTCTGAATAAATGTCAAGCTGTGTTTGTACCCTGTTCTAAGAGGTAAAGATGGCCATTTGGGGAGATGGGATGGACTTACTGATGCTTCTTGACACTCAAATGAGAATGGGAAGCCTCCTTGAGGGGAAAATAGAGCATATTTGCTTTGGGGATCCCCTGCTCTGTGGGCTCTTTCCTTGGGGGAAGGGACAATAGTGGTCAGAGATGGTCACTTCCCAGGAAGGGGCCCAGACAGCTGGGCCTTTGCTTCAGATATGGGGTTACAGGGCAAAGGCTGTCAAGCGAGATTGGTTTTCCTTGTAGAGACATCTTCCTGGGCCCTGGGGCTTGGAAGAGTGAGTTAGGGGCCTCACCCTGTGCCTCTTCCTGTGTCCAACAGCCTTGAAGATTTACTGACTGTCTGGCCAGAGTCCGACCAGTCCCTCTAGGACAGTGGAAGACAATTGTGTTGTTTGCTGTTTCCCACCCACCCCCACCCCCACCTGCTCCAGGGCCCTTCAGCTTCTGTGAGGCCAGGATGAAAGAGCTTTGGACCATGGGCTGATAGAGGCCTCATCCTTATCTTCAAGGCTGAGTTAGAAGAAAAGAGTTGACTGCAACTCCAAACTGCACCATGTTCTCCTGGAGAATATCTCACCAGCCCTGGGAGGGGGGGATCCCTGCCCTTGGTGTTGGCTGTGAGTGGTCCCTGGGGGGAGCAACCCCAGCTCTTCCCTCTCCCAGCCCAGCATCAGTGGTGTCATAGCACTGTGGCCATCGGGGCTGCTGTCCAGAGGCTGGCCACTGCCAGCTGGGCCACGAGCAGCTTGGAGATGTGCCCCAAAGAGGAAGCATTGGATGTGCAGGAGCAGACCTCATAACCACCGTCTGAGCGGCTCTCGTCATGTTGGCCGGGCCTCGAGCGGGCCCCAGTCCTGGCTCCCTCAGCTCTGACTTCATTCTCAGGGCCATCGGCCTGCATGTCACTACACACCAACCAGTCCTTGGCAGTGGACTGTGGGTAGCCAGGTGCGGCCTCCAGCTCACTGTCCAGTACTTTCCAGTAGTCTTTGCCCCTGAAGAAATACGAGGCCCCTGGGGACAAAGACAAAGACATCCATACATGGGGGGAGGGTGTTGGGATTGAGATCAAACTTTGCTCCTGCTATTCCCACCCTTACAGGCCACAGCTTGCTCTCCTCCTGAGGCCTGGCCCAGGGACCTACTCTGCAGGAGGGTAGACTCAGACTAGGCAGCAGAAAGGACTGTTGAATGGGACGGATTTTTGGCTAAATGCTGAGGTTGTTAGAAGGAATCTTCTCTGATCAGGGAGTGATGTTTTTGTGTTCGTGCGTGTGTAGTATATAATGTCTACATCTGTCTAGAATTCTGTAGCTAGATAGTTTGTATGTCCAGGTATACATGTAGATATATTTCTGATGATGTATACACGCATGTTTGAGCGTGTACATATATCTAAGAGCTTTAGATACCATTGAGGGTGGGAGGATCCGATCTCACAGAATTGCCCCATGGGTAGCTGTCTCCCGGGGCCCCGGGGAGCTTCCCTTCTTCTCTGCACCTCACTCTTATGGGATCCACAATATACAGATTTAGAGCTGGAAGGAACCTCAGCAGCATCTAGTCCAAAATCCCTCATTTCACAGAAGAAACTGAGGTGTAGAGGGAAAGTGACTCGCTCAAGGTCACCCAGGCAGTAGAATAACACAATCAAGGTTTGAACCCGGTTTCTTTGTCTGTGATTCCAGGTTTTCTGCCTCTGATTACTTTTCCATTATACCACACTGTCTTGTACTCTTCTCTAAATGTTGTGTGTATGAGTTGTGTCTCCCCCTTCCATGACTGTGAGCTTCCTGAGGGCAGGGCTACGGTCTCAGCATGACCACTTCTGTCTCTCCTCAGACTGTGAGCTCCCCAGAGCTAGTGAACCTGGGTGCCGTTGTATGCACGCGTATATAGCTGCTCCCTTCTAAGGTTACTTTGCATCTACTGTATGTGTGTTTTGTATATAGCACTTCTGACTGTACACATTGTTTCCTTCATTAGAATGCAATCGCCTTGACGGCAGGGACTGTGTCACTTTTGTGTTTGGGATACAACAGGTCCTCTGGGTTCTGGTTCTAAGTGATGTTGAGCCAGACCCATTCAATGGGGCCCTGTAAGGGTGCGGTGGATGTAACCACGGCCTAAGGACAGACACAGGATTTGGGGTGGTGAACTTGGGGTGTGGGTGGGCAACATTTCTGACCCTTGGATGGACAAGTCCCAGACGCTGTTGGGAAGCTTCCTGGGCTTGGCAGGGGACTCACCATCAGACCAGCGCATGGCATCATCCAGGATGCTGGGGATCCCCCTCCACAGAGGGCTCTCTGCGGGGTACCCGGGGTCCATCCTCCGAGCATGGTCATCATAGCGCCAGTATAGATGGTCCTTAAAGAAATAAGTCTTGTCATTGTGGGCCCAGGAGAAGGCAGCATCGATGCCACCTGGCGGGAGGCTGAAGTCGGAGACAGGCCGAGGGTATCCTTCCTCAACGTTATTGTCTTTAAAGACCCAGTATCTGTCTCCTGGGGGGAGAGGAAACAGGCATGGAGCAAGAAAATGGCAGCTGTAAAGTGGTGGGAGCTTGGGAAGGAAGGGGTAAGGTTGGCAAAAGGTAGTAGCTGGGGGATGGGAGGGACGAGTCCTAGACCAGCGCTGCCTCACAGATGGATGGAGCGCATCCTCTCAAGCTCTCAACCCATGCGGTCCAGCGGAAAGAACACTAGACTTGGAGTCAGAGAGGTCTGATTCACACCCCTGTCTTTGTAAACAAACTTTTGTGATCTTGGGCAAATCACTTGCCTCTCTGGGCCTCAGTTTCCTCACCTCTAAATTAGAGGTGTCAAATGTGCACATTCCAGCCGCAACAGTCCCGAGTTCAGCCCCAACCAATTTAAAATGTAATTGGGAGGGGCAACTAGGTGGCGCAGTGGATAGAGTACTGGCCCTGGAGTCAGGAGGACCTGGGTTCAAATCTGGCCTCAGACACTTGGCACTTAATAGCTGTGTGACTCTGGGCAAGTCACTTAACCCCATTGCCTAACCCCCCAAAAAAATGTAATTGGGAAATATTTCACAAAATAAATAAAAATAAAACATTGATAACATTATATTTTAAAACTAAGTTAAACTATGCGGCCAGCAGGGATTCTTCTACATGGATCAGTGGCCCGTGCTGCTATTTAAATTTGTTGCCACTGACGCAGATGACTTCTGAGGTCTCTCCTAGCTTGGATTCTCAGACTCCGTGACCTTTTCTTTCACCACCAAGGAAAGCTCCTGGAATGACTCTCCTGGCCTCTGTTCTCCTTTCACTCATTCCTCAACCCCCTTGCACTTAGGCCTCCAACGTCTTCATTCAGCTGAAAGTGCTCTTTGTGAGGTTACCAATGACCTCCAAATGGCCACGTCCAATGGCCTCTCCCTTCTCCAGTCCACCCTCCACTCGGATATTAAGTTGATTTTCCTAAAGCATAAGTCTAACCATGTCACTCTCCTTCTCAAGAAGCTCTGGGGCTCCCTTTTGCCTTTAGTATAAACTACAAAATCCTCTGCTAGACATTTAAAGCCCTATACTGTCTGTGTCTGACCTACCTTTCCAGGCTTATTTCACATTGCTCCCTTTCAATTAGGTGGTGCAATGGATAAAACGCTGGGGCTGGAGTCAGCAGTACCCCAAGTTCAAATCCAGCTCTGGGCCAGTCACTTAACCTCTGTCTACCTCAGTTTCCTCATCTGTAAAATGGGGATGTTGTTGTTTGGTTGTTTCAGTTGTATCTGACTCTTTGTGACACCATTTTGGAGTTTTCTTGATAAAGATCCTGGAGTGGCTTGCCATTTCCTTCTCCAGTTTATTTAACAGATGAGGAAACTGAGCAAACAGGGTGAAGTGACTTGCCCAGGGTCCCACAGCTAGGAAGTGTCTGAGGCCGGATTTGAACTCAGGAAGATAAGTCTTCATGACTCCAGACGCAGTGCTCTATGCACTATGGCGCCACCTAGCTACGTCCCAGGGTTGCTGTGAAGAATGAATGAAATGATATTTGTAAAGTGTTTAGCACAGTGCCCAGAATATGGTAGGCATTTAACAAACACTTGTTTCCTTCCTTCCTACTGTACACTCACACACACATACACACACACAGCAGTTCCAGTCCAATTGGCCTATTTTCACTTCCTTGTATAGAATGCTTCTCCCACCTCCACGCCTTTGCAAAGGTGGTCCCCCAAGTCTGGAATAATCTCCCTCCATCCTTCTGCCCTTTAGAATCACCAGTTTCTTCAAAACTCAGCTCAAATACTGCCTTTCATGCAAGGCCTTTCTTGACCCTCCAGTTGCTAGTGGCCACTTTCCCAAAGAAATTTTGTATTTTGTGTACATTTTGCATTTCCTTATATGAGTCCATGTTGTTTCGCCTGGTTGAATATAAGCTTCTTGAGGGCAGAGACTGCATTATTTTTGTCTCTGTAGCCCCAGCATCCATCACAGACCCTGAAGTATATAGTGGGTGCTTAACAGATGTTTATTGAATGGATGCAGAGTAAGAATGAATTTGGGCCCTCTTCTCATTTCTCTCTATACTTTCTCAGTGACTGAATCAGCTCCCATGGGTCCAATGATCATCTTTACAAAGACGATTCACAAATTTATAGATCAGCCTTGCTACATAGCCATAGTTTCACATCTCTAACTGTAGACTGGGGCATCCTCAGCTGGATATCTCATAGACATCTCAAAAACATCCTGTGCAAAATGGAATTCATTATCTTCCCTTCTAAACCCACCCCTCCTCTATTTCCCCATTAGACAGCTAAGTGGATAGAATTATGGGCTCAGACATTTACTAGCTAGGGGACCCTGGGTAAGTCACTTAACCTCTTAGCCTTAGTTTCTTAACTTAGCCTCAGTTTCCTCAACTCTAAAAGGGTGATGATAACTGTATCTATCTCATTGTGAGGATCAAATAAAATAGTATTTGTAAAATATTTGGCACAATGCCTGGCACATAGTAGACACATAATAAATATTTGTTTCCTTCCTCCATAACTTCTCGGTGCAGCCTAATATTATATTAGTTGTTTCTTTTTTTTGTTTGTTTGGTTTTTTTTTTTTTGCTGTGATAGCATACAGTTGACTAGTCTCGAGTGTGATGTCCACTAAAACCTCCAGATCTTTTTCAGATGAGCTACTGTCTAGCCATACCTTTTCCATCTTGTGCCCATGAAGCTGATAATTTTTTTTTGTACTGGCACACATGGTCTTAGTTGCTGGCTAAAGGAATTATACAGGGTCACACAGCCCATATATAGCAGGTTTTCCAAAACTCTGAGGCCAGTCCTGCATTCATTATGCTGTCTCTATTTGTTCTCATTTATTAAAGCAAGTCCCCTAAAGATTCTACCAGGTATGCTTTGTTAATCCTGTTCTGGGGCACTTTTCTTTACAAATAAAAATTTCAGACCTGTCCCGGATCTCCTCTCTAGGTCAGGGTGGGAACCTCTCACCTTTAAAGAAGACAATCTTGTGGTCACTGGTCCTCTCATAGACAGCATCCACACTATCCAGGTGGAGTGGAAGACCCCTCCAGAAGCGGTGGATCTGGGCGGGCTGTAGGGAAACCAGGTGCCTGTCCCGGGTCAGCCTCCAGAAATACTTGCCTGGGAAAGGAGAAAGGACATGGGTGTGGGTGAGCATAGCTCCCCACAGGCTTCTCTGCTCCCCCTTATCCTCCCACTCATCTGGAATACTCAAGATGAGTTAGAAAAATTCATAATGAGACTTCTAGAGAACCTCTAATATAAACCCTTACAGCAGCTGGCACAGTAGATAGAGCACTGGGCCTGAGTTCCCGAATTCAAATCTGGCCTCAGACATTATTAGCTGTGTGACCCTGGGCTAGTCACTTAACCCTGTGCGCCTCAGTTTCCTCATCTGTCAAATGAGCTAGAGAAGGAAATGGCAAATCACTCCAGCATCTCTGTCAAGAAAACCCTAAATAGGGTTAGGAAGAGTTGGACATGACTTAAATGACTCAATAACATGTGTCAAGGACTCTGTTAAGTACTAGAAATACAAAAAAAAAAAAAGGCAAAAACAGTCCCTGCTTTTAAGGAGCTCACCGTCTGATGGGACAGACAAGCAGCAAACAATTATGTACAAATGAAATGTGTTAGGCCGCTAGGTGGGCGCCATAGTGCATAGAGCGCCAAGCCTGAAGTCTGGAAGACTGATTTTCCCAAGTTAAAATCTGGCATCAGACAGTTACTAGCTTTGTGACTCTGGGTAAGTCACTTAACCCTGTTTGCCTCAGTTTCCTCATCTGTCAAATGAGCCGGAGAAGGAAATGGCACACCACTCTGGTATCTTTGCCGAGAAAACCCCAAATGAGGTCACGAGAGTCAGACACGACTGAAATGATCTGACAACACAGATGAATTGGAGACACATAAGCATGCTTGGAAGGAGCATCAATATGTATATTCAAGACTTCTATTATGAGTTCGGGAGCCAGGGAAGAGAACAAGAGGATGGATGAGCCAGGTACTGAACCCCTGAGGAAAGAAGCAGACTGTCCTGGAAGCTGGTAGACAAAGGCTACCTGAATTTCCCATTATACCAGATAGCACCTTGCCTCTCTGACACTCAGGTTCCTCTTCGACAAGGTGAGGGTGGGTGGTTGGGAGGAGCAGATGATTTCTGCAGACCCTTCTAGCATCGTCACTGGTTGTCCCTCATTTCTGGAATGCTCTGCATCCTCATCTCCATCTTTGGGCTTCCTTCCGGTCCCAGCTAAAATCCCACCTTCTACAGGAAGCCTTTCCTGGTCTTCTTTACTTCAAGCGTCTTCCCTTTACGGATAACCACCCATTCATCCTCACATATCTTGTTTGTACATAGCCATCTACTTGTTACCTCCCCCATCAGACTGTGCTCTCCTCCAGAGCAGAGACTGTCTTTGTTTCCCCTGAACTCAGTACAGTGCCTGTCGAATAGTAGGCACTTAATAAATGCTTACTGACTTGATCGTTATTATACTGGTCTTACAGATGAAGAAACTGAGGCACAGAGAGGTTAAGTCACTTGTCCAGTCACACAGCTAGTAAGCATCCAAGGCAGGATTCAAACCAAGGTCTTTCTGACTCTTAATCCAGTGCTCTCTCCACTGTACCATGCTGCCTGGAAAAGGAGGAAGGTACTGGAGGTAAGTATATTAGGAGTACAGAAACATTGAGCAATCAGTCAACAAGCATTTTTTGACTACTATTATGTGCCAAGCACTGCTAAATGCTGTGGAAATAGAATGACAGAGTTGGCCAAGGACAGGAAGAGACAGGGGTCTGATGGTTTCCTGGTAGTGAGGGTGAGCATGCCTGCACACACATAGACATAGAAATACATACATCCTGAAAAATTTACTCTTATAACCATACATATTCATTGTACCCCACATAATAATAACAGAAAGCGCATATGGTATTTCAAGGTTTGCAAAGCATTTTACTAACATCTCATATGATTTATACAACAACCCTGTGTGGTAGGTGCTATTATCATCCTCATTTTTCAGATGGGGAAACTGAGGCTGAGAGAGAGGGAGTGACTTGATTAGGGTTATATAGCTAGGATGTGTTTGAAGCAGGATTCAAACTCAGGTCTTCCTGGCTCCAAGTCCCATGCACTATCCATTATGACACCTAGCTGACCCCGGCACAGAAATACACAGGCACTGATGTAGACACATACATAAGAGTCCATTTATGCATGTGATGTCTCACCATCCATCTTCACTAATTCAACTGCTCTGCCTCCCTGAAAAACCTTCTCCCAAGGGTCCACTCCCCTCCTCACCCCTGCCATTTCCAGCCCCATTCTGGGCTCTGATGGAGGTGAGGATACATGTGTCAACTCCTAATCTCCTTGGTCCTCAGTTTTCCCCATCTTTCAAATGATACCCACTCTCCCTGCTGCTACCTTTGAAGAAGAAGGCTTCCCCTCGGATCTGGGCCACAGCATCAAAGTTAGCATTGCACCGATGGGGTATATCCTTCCTTTGCCTGTGGAGAGATCCCAGCCCCTGTCTGGTCAGATGAGGTCTTTCTCAGAGACACCGGTCCCCTTGCCCTCCCTCCACTCTGGATAATTCAAAATAGCAGATTACCCCCCAAACCTGGAAAATTCATAGGATCATAAGACTTAGGGATCATTTAGTCCAACCCTGATAAAAATTAATTACAATCCAAAACTGTGAGTAATTTAAAAAACAACAGGGGACAATCCAAAGTGGCAGGGGACCCAACGGTAATTTCTCCTAGCCCCTGGGCTCCATGATGTTAATGTTCAAAAAGTTTGATTTGCTTTCCTAAATATTTTCTGCTCAGTCAATTATTAACATGAACCTGCCTTTTCTGAGACTATACTCATTGATTAAAAAAAAAAACCAACTATGGAGAAGTGCTTAGCATAGGGTCTGGCACATGGTAGGTGCTTAATACATGTTTATTGATTGAATGAAAGAGGAGACAAAAATTGAATCAGGGTAAATGTCTAAATTTAAAAAGGGGGGGAAATGGGAATGGGATCTACAAAGTATAGACCAGTGGGCTGGATTTTAATCTGGCAAAATTCTTGCACACAGATATTATTAAAGGGATGGTTACTGAATATCTATGAGCAATCACAAAAAGTCAGATTAGCCTGGCTTTTTCAAGCACAGGTTATGTTAGTCTAACTTTATTTCCTTTCCTAACAGAGCTGCTCAACTGGTAGATCAGGAGAATGCTTTAGATATAGCTTAGGTTTTTAGTTAAGCATTTGATAAAGGATCTCCTGCTATTCTTGTAGTCATTAATGATAGAATGTCAATTTGGGAGTAGGTCTCCAGTGGAGTGCCCCAGGAATCTATGCTCAGGCCTGAGTCTTGTCAATCAATTTGATAAAGACATTGCTTGCTCCTCACAGTCGTAGATGACACAAACTTGAGAGGTGTAGCTAAAATGTCGGATGACAGAAACAGGATCTGAAAAATACTCTGACTGGCTACAAAATTTGGCTGAATCTATGAAATTTAATAGAGATATATACCTGGGTGCTTGGTTTCAAAAAGTCAACTTCACAGGGATATCGAGCAGTTCAGTGGAAGAGCAATGGCTTTGGAGTCATAAGACCTGGGTTTTAGGCAGCTAGGTAAGGCAGTGGATGAAGTACTGGGTCTGGAGTCAGGAAGACCTGAGTTCAAATCCTGCTTTAGAGACCTAGTAGCTGTGGGACCCTGGGCAAATCATTTAACCACTGCCTGCCTTAGTTTCCTTAACTATAAAATGGGGATAATAATAGCACCTACTTTCCAGGGTTGTTGGGAAGATCAAATAAGATCATATTTGTAAAGTGCTTAGTATAATGCCTGGCCCTCAGTTTAATAAATGTTTGTTTTTTTTTTAAAGTTCTGTCTTGTTAGCTGTGTGACCTTGGGTAAGCACATCCTTCCTGGGCCTCAGTTTCTTCATTGGTAAATGAATTGAACTATGTATCTCTAACTATATATTGATTGAATATATATGACTCAAACTATAAATGATTGAATTAGGTATCTCTGAGGTCCCTGCCAACTCTAAATCCATGATTCTATACAAGAAGAAGTGGTTAAGGCAGTAGTTAAGACAGTCTGAAGAAGATCTGAGGGTTTTAGTGGACTGCAAGCTCCACATGAATCCATAGTCTGATATGGAAGTCAAAAAAGCCAGTGTCATCTTAGATTGGAAAGAGGCAGAGGATCCAGGAGAAGAGACTTCTAGTTTGTCTAGCCTTTGCATTAGCCAGGGGTGGGGAACCTGTGGTCTTGAGGCTATATGTGGCCCTTTAGGTCCTCAAGTGCAGCCCTTTGACGGAAACTTTGGATTCAAGTCAAAGGGCTGCACTTGAGGACTTAGAGGACCACATGTGACCTTGAAGCCGCAGGTTCCCCACCCCTGCGGCCAGACCCCAATAGGAGTATTAGGTTCAATCCTGGAAGCTGCATTTCAGGAAGGCCATGGTAAGGTGAAGAGCATCCAGAAAAGGGCAAAATAAGTAGAATGGCAAAGGGCCTCGAATACATGTTGTACAAGAATCAGTTGAAGGATTTCGCATTGTTTAACCTGGAGAAGAGAGGGCTCATAGGGGACCTAATTGCAATCTTCAAGTATCTGAAGGGTTAATTCAGAGGTGGGGAACCTGGCCAGATTGCAGAGTTAAGTAGATTATGAAATAAAAGCATGTATGTATGTGTGTATATTTTGTGTGTATTTATCTATATCTGTATTACTGAAGTCAGAAACTCGTCTTCCTGAGTTCAAATCCAGCCAGTCTCAGACAGTAGCTGTGTGATCCTGGGCAAGTCACTTAACCCTGTTTGCCTCAGTTTCCTCATCTGTCAAATGAGCTGGAGAAGGAAATGGCAAACTACTCTAGTATCTTTGCCAAGAAAGCCCCAAATGGGGTCATGAATAGTTGGACCCAAGTGATTAATGACTGAAAAACAACAACAAAATATGTATAAAGCCCACCTTCTGCAGGAAGCCTCCCCCAATCTTTCTTAATTCCAATGCTTTCCTTCTTTTAATTATCGTGAGGATCAAATTCTCCTGAAATATAGCTTGCTTTGTTTGCGTGTTGTCTCTCCCATTAGATTGCAAGCTCCTTGAGGGCAGGAACTGTCTTTTGCCTGCTTTTGTATCCGCAGTGCTTAGCATAGTGCCTTGGAACAGGTGCTTAAAAAAGGGTTATTGAATATATACATCTCACATATGGAGTGCTGGAGAGAAGGGGTTTGGTTACAAAAGATCCTGCTTTCACAGAATCATTCCTGATATCCAGAAGATGGAAACAAGCAGATAGGAGAGGATGAACAGTATGGAATAGTATGGAATAAAACGGTAAGGAAAGTTGTCAGCTAAAGAAAGAGGGTCGCTTTTTTATTTAAAGCTATGCTGGGGAAAATAGGGAGCCCCCAAAAAGGGGATTTGTTGCTGTTTAGTTGTGTCTGACTCTTCATGATCCCATTCGGAGTTTTCTGGGCAAAGAGACTGGAGTGGTTTGCCATTTCCTTCTCCAGCTCATTTTACAGATGAAGAAACTGAGGCAAACAGGGTTAAGTAACTTGCCCAGGGTCACATAGCTAGTGTCTGAGGCTGGATTTGAACTCAGATCCTCCTGACTCCAGGCCTGGCACTCTATCCACTACACCACCTAGCTGCCCCCCAAAAAGTGGTAGGGCACTACTATTTGGTTAGATGGCACAATGATATCTGAATTGAGAGAGAAGGCTGAGCCGCTCAGTTCTGATCTTGCTTGCTTTTTCTGCCAAGAAGAGTGACCTCGGTACTGGAAATGACCAAACCAAAGTGGCCAATAAGGAACTGATGCTCAGGATAATTAAGGAGATAGTAAGCAGATCTCCTACTATTTTTATGGAAAACATGGCAAGCTTGTGGACCGGAAGGTAATACAGTTAGGATTCAGAGCTGCTCAGATGGCTAGGCTCAAAGAGCAGTTAATGGCTTAATGTCAATGTGGTCGAAGTCTCCAGTGGAGTTCCCCAAGGATCTGCACTGGGCCCTGTGCTATTAAGTATTTTTAATCTTGACCTAGAGAAGGGCCTGCTCCTCAAATCTGCAGCTGACATAAAGCTGGGAGGGACAGACAGCCAATGTGTTGGATACTAGTGCTGGGATCCCAAAGGATCTGGACAGCACTGGGTTAAATCTAATAAAATGAAATCCAAATAAAATAAATGGAAAGACTTGGACTTGAATTTAAAAAGTCAACCTCACAAAGTACAGGGGAGGTGTGATCAGACAGGATTTGGTCTTCAAAAGTCTTGAGTTGTATTTTTTTTTTTTTTTAGCAGACTACTAGCTCAGTGAGTCAGCAATGTGATGTGGTGGCCAAAAAGCCACTTTATTCTTGGGCTCATTAAGGAGATGCATAGCTTCCAGGAATGAGGAGGTGACTGTCCCACTGTCCTCAGTACTGGATAGCATACAACTGGAATATGGAATCTCGTTCTGTTCCAGGCACTATAGTTTAAGAAGGACACACCAATGAATGGGAAAGTGTTCAGAAGTGAAGGGCATTGAATCTATGTCATATGAAGGAACTGGGGGTTTTGAGGACAGAAAGGGGAAGATGTAAGGGAGATGTAATTACTGGCTTCAAAGTATCTGAGAGGTTGATATGTAGAAGGATTTGACTTGTCCTGTTTGGCTCAGGAGATCAGAAAAAGGAATGATGAATAGAAGTTTCCAGGAGACCAATTTAGGCTCAGTATGAGGAAAGACTTCCTGATGATTAGTGCTGTCCCAAAGGCTGCCTGTTGGGGTGGTCGGTTGCCCCTCCTTGGAGGTCTCCTCCATAGAGTTTCTCTCTTCCTTTAACACTCAGCTCAGGCACCATCTTCTGCATGAAGCTTCCCAAACGCTAATGCCCTCCTCCCATGCTAGTCATTTTATAGTACTTTAAGGTTTGCAAAGCACTATACATATATATATATATGTTGTCTCATTTGATCCTCATAACCATCCTGGGAGGTAGATGCTATTATTATCCTTCGTTTTACAGATAAGGAAACTGAGGCTGAGAATGCCTTGCTCAGGGTCAAAAGCTAGTAAGTATCTAAGGCTGGATTTGAACTTAGGTCTTCCTGATTCCAGGTCTGATAGTCTATCTGCATTGTGTGTATGTGTATATGTGTGTGTGTGTGTGTGTGTGTGTGTGTGTATGTATGTATGTGTATATTTAATCACTTTATGCTGTATATGTATTTATTCTTTATGTACTTGTCTCCCCACCTAAGCTCCTTGCATGTAGGGATTGTTTCATTTTTGTCACTGTATGCCTAGCACATACTTGTTCACTGGTTGATTGATAGTGGGGGATTCCTTTTGGGTAGGAGTTGGACTAGATGTCCCCTTAAGTCCCTTCCAACTGAGAATTCTCTGGTTCTACGCCTCTGATTGGGTAGGAGTAGTAGAAGGGTACAGGTGTGGACTGGGGGGTCGGAACCAACCAATGTGATGGAAAACATTCCCTTCCAACATTCCTCAGAGTGGAGAATCTGCATTCAGATACTGAGATGGTTAAGGAGATGCTGTGGTTCTGAGGGTTTGCTGGGGACAGATGCAGCTCTCTCTGGTAGGAAGCTCTGCTCCCACTCCCCCCACTTCAGGGTGAACTGGTGGCTTACGGTACAGTGGTGCGGTTGTCTGGGAGCTCTGGGAGAAAGGGGTGATCCTCAGTCTCAGTGACCTCTGGCTTGGCTGTAGGGGAGACAGACTCCCGGACACCTATGGTGGGAGATAAGAAAAGAAGTGAGAAATTTTGAAGTAACCCCTAGCCAATGCCCCTACTCCAGTCATCTCCCTTACCTCTCCCACTGGTCTTCCCCTCTCTTCTCCAGCCTCTCTGTCCAACTCAGGACCAAAGAAAAGGAAAGGAGGGCAAGAAAACTCTTCAGAAACCCCCATAGCATCGAAAAATGCTGAGTAGGGGCAGCGCAGTATAGAGGGCGGGGAGCCAGGACACTACTCACTCATTTTAGGAATTTGGACAAGAACTCTAATCCCATTGCAGAAATCTCCAATATCATTTGCTTTGAAAAATTATTGTGGTACTTTGAGTACCATGGTAGAATAAACTTCATCCAAAAATCCACTCAAAACCACAATTCCTGTTTGAACCTCAGTGTCTTTCTCTGTAAAATAGAGTAATGCTATCTACCTTACTGGGTATTGTGAGGATGAAGTGAGAGCACCCTTGTCAATCCCTCTCTGAAACATCTGCAGAAAACATCCCCACCTTCTCCACTGCAGCTGCAGCTAGCCTAGTCCAGGCTCTCATTACCAATGACCTGGATGACTGCAATTGCTTCCTCCTTAGTCTTCCGACCTTCATTTTCTCCCTCCAATCCATCCGCCACATCACTGCCACATTTATCTTTCTTAACAAATAGACCTATCTGGTCATATCTCTTTTCTGTTCAAGAATCTTCAATGGCTCCCTACTACCCATTGAGTAGCCTGGCTATCTACCTCCAGAGAGAGAACTGATAAACTCTGGGTGCTGACGGAAGTGTATTTTTTTCCATTTTCTTTATTTTTGTTGCTTTTTTTTGCAGTACGTTTTACATGACTTCACAAGTATAATGGGTACCCTATTGCTTGCCTTCTCAATTGGTGGGAGGAGAGAATTTGGAACTTTAAAAAATGTTAAAAATTGTTGTTGTTCAGTAGTTTTTCAGGTGTGTCTGACTCTTTGTGACCCCATCTGAGGTTTTCTTGGTAGAGATATTGGAGTGGTTTGCCACTTCTCCAGCTCATTTTACAGATGAGGAAGATGAGGCAAACAGGGTTAAGTGACTTGCCCAGCATCACGCAACTACTAAGTGTCTTGAGGTCATATTTGAACTCAGGAAGATGAGTCATATTAAAACTCAACCAACAGTTAAAAAAAAAAAAGGGAATCTCAAAAAAAAAAAAAGAGAAATGTTTAGAGAAATAAAACCCTTTCCCCCCCTCTCTCCTAAAAAATTCCTCAGCCTGGTATTTGAGGGACTCCCCCTTCCAGCCTTATCTCATATTATACCTCATATGACTCATATAACTCCAGAGTTAGACCAACCAAATCGGTGTTTCTCTTTACTATGTTCTATGCTGTCCTGTTTCTGTGCCTTTGGGGTCAGGCCATTCCCTGTGCCTGGAAATGCCCTCTTATCCATCTCAAATGCCACTTCTAACAGGAAGACCTCCCAGATTCCCCAGGTTGGTAACAATCTTCCTTCTTGAAACTTCTGGAGCACTTTGTCTTGTAACCCCTAGAGTCATAGTTTTAGATCCAGAAGAGACCTTAGAGGTCAGAACACTGAGGAGCAGAGATGTGACTTGACCAAAGCTATATTCTAAAATATTTATAGTTACATTATTTGTTAATTATTTGTTACAATCTCATTCTCTACCTAGACTTCAAGCCCTCTGAGGACAAGGACAAAGTCTTAGCTAAACTTTGTAACACTCAAAGTGATTTGTATCACTCGATTTTTTAATCACTCAATTAGCACAGTGCTTGGCATACAATAAGCACTCAGTAAGTTTGCTGAATGACTAATCTGTAGAATGAATCATCTGGTAAATCTGTGGGGCATGACCTAGATTGGCATCATCAGAATTCTCCAGAATTCTCTTGGCTCAAGGCTTCCACACTGCTCTAACCACCAACGCGCTGAAAGGGATTTCTGTTCCTGGGCCTCCCTTTTCTGATTGGTGACGATGGTGGCACTGAAAATCCTGTCCATGCTTCACCCTGTCACCTCCTCTCAGGCCATTCTTCCACAACATGGTCTCCTGGCAAATGCCCTTTCCTGCCTCCATCACTCCCACCTCCAATCTAGAATCATGGTCAAATCTACTCTGCCATTGTTCCTGGATGGGATATGTCAGTCTACTTCCCTTTGGATCAACTCACCATCTCTGTAATTTCCCAGACCAAAATGTCCCTTCCATGGCCACCACCTCTTTATGTTTGTTGTTTCTCCCATTAGAATGTAAGCTCATTGAAGGCAGGGACTGTCTTTGCTTTTATCTTAGTATCCTCAGAGCTTAGCATAGTGCTTGGCACATTGTAGGCTCTTTTGCTTTTAACATAGTATTTTATTTTTTCCCAATTGCACATAAAGACAATTTTTAGCATTCATTTTAAAAATATTTTGAGTTCAAAATTTTCTCCCTCCGTCACCACTCCCTTCCTAAGATGGTAAGCAATTTTATAAAGGTTATATATGTGCAATTCTGTAAAACACATTTCCATACTAGTCATGTTGTGAAAGAAGCAGACTAAAAGAAGAAAAAACATGAAAAAATAAAGGAAATGAAAAATAGTATGCTTTGATCTGCATTTAGAATCCATGAGTTCTTTCTCTGGAGGTAGATAGCATTTTTCATCATGAGTCCTTTGGAATTGTTTTGGATCATTGTATTACTGAGAAGAGCTAAATCCTTCATAGCTGATTATGGTACAATATTGCTATTACTGTGTATAATGTTCTCCTGGTTCTGCTCACTTCACTTTGCATCACTTTGTGTAAATCTTTCCAAGTTTTTCACATAGTAGGCTCTTAATAAATGTTTTTCCCTCCCATTTATTCTGAATTGTCTTTGATTCTTTAAAGTTTATACACAAAGTCTTACCCTAGTTCAGAAGCTCAAACCTGATTTTATCTACCTGGCCTTTGATGCTGGCTGCTGATGCTCCTTTTACTATCAAGAAATTGAATACAAGTCATTGGGCCCTGCTGGCCACTTTTTTTCACTCCCGGGCTAGTAGCTTATCTACAAGGGTGAATGATGACGTGGCTGATATGGGCTCTGCCCTGAGTGGAATACATCTAATCCCTGAAACAGAACCCTCCCTCAGGCTCTGGGTATAGACTAGGAGCAGATGTCATCTTTGCTCTGGTCCCTGTGCCTTGACTATTGGCTTAACTACTTACACTTGTTTTAGCCCCTGGGGCTAGATCGCTTCTTTAGCATTCTTTCCCCTGAATTTCCTTTGAGAACTGCAGTCTGGCTGAAAGGAGCTCATTAGGAAGCCTGACTAGTCCAATGTGATTACTTGGCCCCATATCCTGTCTGGCATCACTCACCCCCCCCACCCAGTTTGAATGGCTATAGAGCCTGAGCTTCAGCTTTAGATGGGAGGTGGGAAAGCTATAGAGAGTCAGGGAGGCCTAGGGGTTGTGGGGGTGGGTAGAACATGAGGTCAGCAGAAGAGAGGGAAAGGTCAGGATTGGGTGCCAAGCTCACCGTACAGTTGCCAGATGCGGACTTTGTCCTCATAGGGCAGGTCATATTTCAGGGGGTCGCCCACGGGGCCCTGATAATAGGGTCTCATGATGGACTGTATGGCTGAGATGTGGGTGAGCCCAATGGCGTGGCCAAACTCGTGGACAGCCACAGCAAAGAGATCCATCCCGTGAGCATCTGAGGAAACATGAAGATACCTATCAGCTAAAATGGGGCTGAGGGGTCCCTGGTAGCCAGATCTTCTATTCCACGCACAGGATTTTGGGTTATTTCTGGGTGCACATGCAAGCAAGAGCCTCAGAGCTTAGCATGGTGTCTGGCACATAATACACACTTAACAAATGTTTATTGATTGATTGATTGAAGAGACCCAGAGAACTCCCTGGGATGCACCTTCAAGTTCTCCAGCCTGAGTCTTGATTGTCCAGAAAACACTCCAGGACTCTGGGCCTGGAACCCTGACAAGATTTCTTCTCTCAGTGGTCCCACCCCAGATCCTGCCCACTACTGAGCCCATCAATATCTCTACTTCCCAACAGTACATTGTGAGGGGCCCTGGGCCTTTCTGCTGGCCCACTCACTATACCCTCGTAAGGACCGCCAGTTCTTTCCATCTGCCCTTCATCTGAAGCCTCCTCTATGGGTTGTCTCCCCAATAAGAACGTGAGCTCTTTGAAAACAGGAATTGTTTTACTTTCTATTTATATTTCCAGTGCTCATTTGCGGTGCTTGACACATCTTAAGTGCTTAAAAATATGTTTTTCAATTCCATTCCGTGCCTGTGGGAACATGGATGCATAGAGGTGTGTGAGAGAATTCGGGCGTATTTTAAATTTATAGGCAGATGTGTATCTGACAAAAAGCAGGAGAAAGGAAGGGAAGGAGGTTGTATGGGGCCGTTGTGGGCTTCCTTGGGCATGTGGGCAAGTGTGAGACTATGTGGTTAACACAGGCTTCCCGGGATATATGGTGTCGACATGGGCTTTCTTAGGCCTCATGGAGTTAGCGTGGATCCCACAGGGGTATGAGGGATCACTGTGGCCCCCTCAGACTAGATGAGGTTGATTTGGGATCCCTGAGCTATATGTAGGGTCTTCCCTGGGTTGTTCCCCACCTGAGGATCGGAAAGTCCAGGCCTCATCATCATCGAAGTGGGTGTCTCCAGCTGTGTGGTGGTCTCCGGGAAAGAAAGCGTGGGCCACGGTGCCCCCAGGGCCATCGAAGGGGTAGCCGTCATTGTGGTCCGCTTTGGAGAAGTCAATCTGGATGTCCGCGTTGCTGCCTGCTACCTCGTGGAAGTTGAGCGGTGTAATGTCACTCCACACCTTTAGGGCGTAGTACATGAGTGCGCGGACCGTGTCCCGGCCCAGTGAGGAATCCCGTGGGAATGTGCGGACCCTATTGGAGAGCAGAGAATGGCAAAGCCTGAGTACACCTGGCCTCTGGCCTGGTCTGAGGCTGTCTCCCCTCTCACACAAGTCAGAGGACCTACATTCTTGGCACAGGGGCTTCATTGCCCCTCTCCTGGCTTTACACCTCATGGTAGGATCCATGTTACCTCCTCCCTCTGGCTCTCTCCTTCCCCACATCAGGAATGGAATGTGGAGAATTCTAACTGTCCCCTAGTAGGAAGGGCCTGTCCCAGGAGGTAGTGGGCTCCCCTCACTAGAAGTCTTCAAACAAAGGTTGGTGTTAGATGACCACTTGTTGGATATATGACAAAGGGAATTAAGAAGCAGCAGGGCATAGTGCATAGGACACTAGACTTGACATCAAGAAGTCCTGGGTTCAAATCTTGATTCAGATATATGCTTGTGACCTTGGGCAAGTCACTTAAAAAAAATCAAAACCTCATTGTACCTCAGTTTCCTTACCTATAAAATGGAGGAAGGGGTTGAGCATAATAGTCTTTGAGATATCTTTTAGCTCTGACATTTATCATTTATTCATGAATTCTTGTTTAGCTACCTGTTGGATTAAGTAGCTTCTCTGGTCCCTTTCCAACTGTAACACTGTGACATACCAGTTGTCTTTAAATACTTAGAGATCAGAGATCTTATGGGGCAGCCAGGTGGTATAGTGGACAGAGCACCAGGCCTGGAGGCAGGAAGACCTGAGTTCAAATCTGGCCTCAGATATTTCCTAGCTATGTTACCATGGGCAAGTCACTTAACCCTGTTGGCCTCAGTTTCCCCATCTGTGAAATGAGCTGGAGAAGGAAATGGCAAATCACTGCAGTATCTCTGTCAAGAAAACCCCAAATAGGGGGCATCTAGGTGGTGCAGTGGATAGAGCTCTGGCCTTGGAGTCAGGAGGACCTAAGTTCAAATCCTGCCCCAGACACTTGTCACTTACTAGCTGTGTGACCCTGGGCAAGTCACTTAACCCCGATTGCCTCACCAAAAAAAAAAAAATCAAAAACAAGAAAACCCCAAATGGGGTCATAAAGAGTCAGACACACCTGACCAACAACAAAAGATTTAGAGCAAGATGAGACTTTAGATGTCCTCTAGTCCAAACCCACTTGAGGGAACAGGCCCAGAGAGGTATGATGACTTGCCTAAAGTCAAATTAGTATTAAGAAGCAGAGGGACGATTCGAACTCAGGTCCTCTGACTTCAAATCAAGGGCTACTTCCACTATACCATTTGTCTCACGTGGACGAAGAATCAGACTCGTACCATGGACAGAACTAGGCATAATAGGAAAAAACTTCAAATATGAGGAAACACTTCCTGACATTTGGAGCTGATCCCAAGCACAGCGGCTGGAGGAAGTGGATTCCCATTCCCTGGAAGTCCTCCAGCAGAGGCTGGATGACCTTTCCTCAGGGAAGGTCGTGGAAGGAATTCAGATTCAAGTGCAGTTCGTCCTGGACAGTGGCTGAGGTGCCTCTCAGCTCTGAGATGCTGCGATTCTGGGACAGAGAAATCTCCAGGTGCCGTACATGCCTCTGTACATGCCTCCCAAAGCTTTGTTCTCCTCTCATGGGGTGGGGGAGGGTGAGAGTAGAGGGTATTGGGAAATCAGGCTGTGCAGGCCGAGCAGAAGAGGATGCTGGAGAAACTTGGTCAATGAGGTTCAAGAGAAAGATGATTTCTTTTTAATTTTATATAATCAAAATGATCTAGCTTACATTTCCTAATGCTCTCTGTATCTTGTTTGGTCCTAAGTTCTTCCCTTACCCACATCAGATTGTCTCGGGGAGTAGGGAGGGATAGGCTTTGGAACTCAAAACTTAAAAGAAAATGTCAGAAATTGTTTTAATGTGTAATTACGGAAAAGATAAAATACCATTTAAAAAATAAAAAAGAGAAAGATGACTTCTAAAGTTCCTTCCATCTGTAATCATCTATAAATCTATGAAATTTATATATTTCTTGTTAGTCTGGGTGTGAGCACAGGGAGGGGTGAGGGGTATCTCAGTCTGTGACTGAGGCTTAATGGGGTTGTTGATTTAATCTACATCTTACCCGGGGGCGAAGGGACGGAACTAGATTTTAATCCAGGTCCTCAGACTCTAAATTCTTTGGGCAATGAAGGAGAATCTATTTTCCTCTCTAATGAGGGGAACCTTTTACCTCCTGAGGCAGAACATCCCATTGGGTCATATTAGTCAAAGGCCCAATGACTCCAATTCCTCTAACCTCCCAGTCCAAAATGCTCCTACCACTCTCCTACATGTGATGTCTTCTTCTATTAGAATGTAAGCTCTCTGAGGTCAGGGGCTATCTTGTTTGCTTGTATTTGTCTGCTCAGTGCCTAGTACAGTGTCTGATACATAATGTGTTTAACAAATGCTTATTCATTCATTCTCTTCCTAAGAGGATCATAGGCTTAGAGTTGTAAGGGACCTTTGATCAATTCAATACCTCTCATTTTACAGTTGAGGAAATTGAAGGCCAGAGAGGTTAGGTGATTCTCCCCAGGTCACACAGGTAGTAAATGGCAGAGTCAGGATCTGAACCTAGGTCTAGACCTCTTTCTACTGAACCAAAAAGGCTGAGTTTCCATGGTCTTAGGCTCTGCCTGTGGCTTTTTCTATCTTGAGAAAGGGTCAATGAGATTTTAGAGATGGAAGGGACTATAAAGATCATTCTAGTCCAACTCTCCCATTGTATAGATGAAGAAACTGAGGCCATCATAAATCAAGCTAGTGGCACAGCTGGAACTTGAACCCAAATCCAGTGTTGTGCCTACTGCCCCCGGTTCCCTCCACAGAGCAGGCCTCTCTTGATCCAGGGAGGGGTCAGGTTCACAACCTATCAGAGGCCCCTTCCCCCTTCTGGGGCTGTCTCCTCCAGGTGGGAAGGGAATCAGGCCCGGCCTTAATAAGCTGCTTCCTGACACCTTTGGATGACTGCCTGCTTCATCCTTCCTCTGGCTCTCACTCAAAGTATTCCATTTCCAGATTAATTTAATGCAGCTTCACCTAATAAATGTGTTGGCTTCCGAGGGTCTCAGCCGGGTCTGACTACATTATTTGGCAGATACTGTGGGAGGGCCGTGGCCTGTGGGAGCCTAGGCTAGGAAGCCAGGAATCTTCAAAGGTCTGAGGCCTGAGGAGACACTCAGAGGAAAAGGTCTCAAGGAGCTAGTTTGAACCTCAAGGCTGACCCACAAAGGGTTGTGGGATTGGTGCTCCTCAGGCAGGAGGCAGTGGGGTCTCAGCATCGAGGACTGAGTTGAGTTTATTTGAAGCCACATATGGCCCATCTTCTAAGAAAGGGCTGCAGAGGAGGGGGGTGCTGGAGAACATTTGGATTCTCCCTTCCCCTTCCCCCTTCTCTCCTCACTTCTCCCAGCTGACACCGAGTTTGTATTAGCTTCTTCCTGTCCCAAGTCACCAAGGGAAAAAACTAGGTCCAAATTCTCCAAGGCAAACTTCATCTACCCCAAACACCTCCTAACCAATTACTATAGACAGAAGGAGCCAGCCCTCCAGACACACACACACACACATACACATACACACACACACTCACACACACACAACTCTCACACACACATACACTCTCTCTCTCTCACACACACACACACACACACACACACACACACACACACAAAATCATTCCATCACTCACTCAACCAACCAACATTTATTAAGCCACTTTATATATAGAGATCATTATGCAAGGTATATTTGGCTTGCAGGGGAGATGCAGTTTAGATGAGATGGGATCCTTGCCCAAAGGCAGGAGATAAGATACAAAAACAGTCGCAGAATCCCAGAGTCTTAGCATTGGAAGGACTGTGGATCAATACATATCAATTAGTCTATCACCAAGTATTTATTACAGGCTTGCTCTGGGCCAGGCCCTGGTGCCAGGGGACAGGAATATGAAGGTAAAGGTGAAATAGTCTTTGACCTCAAGAATCTTGTCTAAATTGTACTTAACATGTATTTATCATTCAGCCTTTGCCTGAAAGCCTCTAACAATAATAGGCAGCTAGGTAGTTCAGTGGATAGAGTACTGGATCTGGATTTAGGAAGACCTGAGTTCAAATCTGGCCTCAGATACAACCTAGTTGTGTGACTCTGGGCAAGTCATTTAATTTCTTTCTGCTTCAGTTTTCTCATTTGTAAAATGGGGGTAGTAATAACAGCACCTACCTCTCAGGGTGATTGTGAAGATGAAATAAGATAATATCTGTAATTTGTCATTGTGGAGTTGTACCCAACTCTCTGTGACCCAACTGGGGTTTTTCTTGGCAAAGAGACTGGAATAGTTTGCCATTTCCTTCTCCAGCTCATTTGACAGATGAGGAAACTGAGGCAAACAGGGTTAAGAGACTTACCCAGGGTCACATAGCAAGTGTCTGAGGCCAGATTTGAACTCGGGTCTTCCTGACTCTAGGCCCAGTTCTCTATCCACTGAGCCATCTAGTTGCCCTTAATATAGTTTTTAAAATTATTATTATTATTATTGTTATTACCGAGGCAATCGGGGTTAAGTGACTTGCCCAGGGTCACACAGCTAATAAGTGTCAAGTGTCTGAGGCCAGATATGCCCTTAATATTTATAAAGTACTTTGTAAACCTTCAAACGCCATATAAATGCTAGCTACTGATGTGAACGAACTCTGAGGCCGCTCATTCCACTTTGAGTAGCTCTTACCATTAGGAAGAATCAACATCAAGCTGAAATTTGGCTCTGGCTCCCTTTCTTTCCTCCTCATTCCTAGTTTTGCCCTTTGTGGCCAGGCAGAACAGGCCTGAGCCTTCCTCCATGTGACAGCTTTCAAATCTTAGAAGACAGATATCAATTCCACTCTCTCCACCCCACCCCACTTATCTTTTTGGTAGGAATCACTGAATAATAATAATTTTTTAAAAAATGTATTAAGGGCCTACTATGAGCCAGGCACAGTATTAGTAAGTAGGGAGGATACAAAGTCAGGTTAGGTTAGTTAGGTGAGTCAGTCCCTGCCCTCAAGTAGCTTCCATTCTAATAGGGAGTAGAAACAGACATTACAATAAGATCATCTGTTCAGACCTGGAAGAGATTCCAAAGGCCGTCTAATCCAGCCCCCTTATTTCACAGGCAAAGGAACTGAGGCTCAAGGTCAAACAGAGAATATAAAAGGTAGGATTTGAACCTAGAACCTTTGATTCCAGAATTAGCTTTCTCTCTGCTGTACTACAGAAAAGAATCAGGAGAGGATGGTATCTGTAAAGTCAAGGATGAGAAAATATTTGGTAGGAGTGGGTGGGCAACAAGGCCCCAAACTGCAGAGAGATCAAGGATGATAAAGACTAAAAAAACCAAAACAGAACATTGGATTTGTTGCTTGGGTCATTGGTGACCTTTGAGAGACCAGTTTCAGTACAGTGGTGGGCCTGGAAGGCTGAAAGTGGGGAGTGAGGAAGAGGAGGCATCAGGTGTAGGCAACCTTTCAAAAAGTTTTGTCAGTGAAGAGAAGGAAGAGAGCTGGGGTGTTAGTTAAATAGGATCAAGGGAAGACTTTTTTTTTCTTTTTTAAAGGACTGGAGAAACCTCAACATGTCTGTAGGCAGAAGGGAAGGAGCCAGTGGAGAGACTGAATATGCCTGAAAGAGAGGAGCTGATTGATGATGCAAGGTCCTGAAAGAGGAGAGAGGGAGGGAGATTGAGGTTACAAGGCAGAGAGATCAGTCTTGGTGAGAAATGTCTTATTTTGTGACTGGAAGGAAGGAGGAGAGAAGGCTTGATGATGCTGAGGTTTGATGGATGGAAGGAAAGGGTTGAGGGAGATGGATGACCTCGGGATGAGACTGGGACAACTGTTGTAAGGGCTTGGTGGTGGAGGGTTTGAGGAAAGACATGGCTGGACAGACACACTCAGAGATACACAGATAGGGACACAGATAAACACATACCCACAGAGACACACATACGTAAGGAGACGACTAGAAAGATGGACACGTACCCACAGATACATGCACATGTTGGGGCACAGATAATAATGAGGATGATGACAAATGATAGGTGATAATTAACATTTCTATACCACCTACTTTGTGCCAGGCACTGTGCTAATCATTTTACAGATATTATCCTGTTTGATCTTTACAACAATCATGGGAGGTAGGTGCTATTATTATTCCTTAACAGTTTTACAGATGAGGAAACTGAGGCAAACACAGGTTAAATGATTTGCCCAGGGTCACCAGCATCTGAGGCCGAATTTGAACTCCAGTCTTCCTGATCCCAGGTCTAGCGCTCTATCCATTGCACCATCTAGTTGCCAGAAGATACCTACCCACAGAGAAACACAGATACCTCCAGCCTCCAGTTGTGAGTGGCCCTGGAGGGCAGTGGGGATCACAAAAGACCACACTTACCATCATCCATGTCACCCTGCTGGGGCTTAGCCCCTCTTCCTTGGGGAGGGGGCAGCCAAGGAGGAGCCCAGGCTGGCATCAGGATACACATACCTCCAGGACAGATTTCTCTTGCTCCATTTGGTTAGGGTGGGGGTGTTCCTCTTTCTCCGGGCCCCAGGTATAGCCAGGTCTGGCAGTGAGCAGCGTGGTGTCTTCATGAGCTGGAGGGTGGCCTCATCTATGTGGAAGGCAGTGGGAAGGGGAGCTCAGGGGTCAGGAGCCCAGGCAGTTCCTCAGTTCCCTAGCTGGCTCTTTTCACCCCATGTGGACTTGGGGGTCCTTTCTCTATACTCTTGGCTCATGCTGCCTTTCCCCTCTCCTGAGCACCCTCCCTCTATCCTAGAGGAGATTTCAACATTCCGCCCCCTTACCCTTGCACATATGGGGTTGATGTGTCTATCTAGCACATGCGTGTCTAAACTAGCCCTGAGGACGGGGCTCTGCTGTCTCCCTGACAACCCTGTGCCTCGTGGAATGGTGAGTTAGCCTAACACATCCTGCCCTCCTCGCCTCCGGGGGCACATCCTTGTGAGCTTCATGAGCCCTGTCTGGTCAGACTGGGGTAGGAGACTCTCAAGGGACCTTAGGAATCCTCTAGTTCAATTCCCTCGTTTTGTAGGGGAGGAAAGTGAGGCCCTAAAGATGGACTTGCTCAGGGTCACACAGGCCAGAAGTGGTGGAGCTGGAAATCGAACCCCGGTCCTCTGAATGAAAAGAAAACAAACATTTAAGTTTGCAAATCGATAGATTCACATCAATTTTTGAGAAAGGTTCTCTAGGCATTTTAAAGAAGGAGAAACTGGGGCCCAAAGTTTAAGTGACTTGCCTGTGGTCACCTAGAAGGTCAGTGTCAGTGGTGGGATTTGAACCCAGGGCTTCTTGACCCCAGGGCCAAGCCTTCTATCTGCTATGTCAAGTTGCCTCACCTAAACTCAATGCCCTTTCCATTCCCACCCCGCAGGGGTAGCTCATGGAAACCAGGGCCCCCTGCACCATGTCCTCATCTCCACGCCCCTCTCTCTCTAGTTCCCTGCCCTCTGCTTTCCCGAATCACCCCAAGTTTTTGGGGTAGGTCAAATCCAGGCAGGGCTTGGAATGCATTCTGCACACTTAGGGCAATCATTTCCTAAAGGTCTATGGCTAGAGAATATTAACAAAGCCCACTGGAATGCAACTTTTAAAGCAAATTAATTAAAAGATACAATTTACAAGGAGCAGGGTAATGAACTTTTTCCTTCCTCATCTTTGCAAAACCCCAGCAGCAAACCAGGAGGTAGTGAACCATGGCTGGAGCTGTTCCTCCTGGAGCTTAGGATAAGTTTGGAAAGAAAAGAAAGAGATTTTAATTAGGAATCCGCTGGGCTCCCAGATCCAGGGACAGGATGGGGCCAGGCATTAAGATCTGTGGTGTAGGAACTTTGAATCCCAGATTTACAGCTAAAAGGGACCTCAAAGACCATCTAATCGAATCCCCTTGTTTTACAGAGGGAAACTGAGGCTCGTAAAGGTCACAGAATCATAATAGCGAATGGTTAGCATTTACATATGCTTTTAGGTTTGCAAAGTGTTTTACTAATATAATCTCATTTTATCTTGGCAACAACCCTGGGGGGTAGGTGCATTATCCCCATTTTATAGTTGAGAAAACTAAGACAGACAGAGGTTAAGTGACTTACCCAAGGTCACAAAGCTATGATCTTGTTGCATCCTTACAACAACCATGGGAGGTAGGTGTTATGGTTATCCCTGTTTTACAGATGAGGAAACTTAGGTGAAGTGACTTGCCCAGGGTCATACAACTAATTAGTAAGTGTTCTGAGGCTGGATTTGAACTCAGGATGTCCCAGAGTGATATTCATTTCACCACCTGGCTACATCATAGATTTATAATTGGAAGGGACCTGAGGTCACCGAGTCCAATCTGCCTTATTTACAGAGAGTGAAACTGAGGCTCAAGGGGCTGCTACGTGGTCCAGTGGATAGGATATCAGCCCTAGAGTCAGGAGGATTTGAATTCAAATTTGACCTCAGGCACTCACTAGTTGTGTGACACTGGGCAAGTCACTTAACCCTGATTGCTCCCCTACAAAAAAAAATCAAGGCTCATAGAGGTCATAGGAACATAGATTTAATGTTGTAAAAGGGACCTCAGAGGTCATCTAGATCAGTTTCTTCCTTTTTCTTTTATAGAGGAAGACATCAAGGGAAATGATCTGAACAAGGTAATACAGGACTGAGGAAGGGGGGCTGGCCTAGGGCAGAGGGTAGAGTGGGGTTACACAGGGTATTAGAGAAGGCCCTGGACTGGGAGACTAGAACCCTGCTTCTAGTACTGTCTCTGCTGCTCATCAGCGGCAGTGGGCCAGTCATATAACTTCTCAGAACCTCAGTTATCTCATCTGTCAAATGGGCATAATAATACTCAGCATGACCTCTCTCACAGGGATGTTGTGAGGAAAAAGCATTTCTCAGGCCTCAAGGTAAGCTGTCATTTTTATTTTATTATTTTCACTTATATGGCTGGCTTCATTATTATTCAAGGACCTGCCTTTTCTCCAAGAGGAAAGCGGACTCAGCATTTACCTAGAGAAATGATTCTGATGGTCCCCCCAGACAAAGAGCCGTTCTGCTATGTGGGCAGGAATTGGCCAGGGGAGCTATTGGGTTGTTGTAAGTATCTCAATTACATGCCTGCCTCCCTGCAACCAGCAAATCCAAAGCTTTCTTGGCGAGGTAGGCCAAGAAACACTGGAGTTGGTGGGCCATCTTGGGAGGCAGTAGAAATCATGTTTGATTTCATGTCAGGAGAGACCAGAGTTTGAATCCTGGCTTTGGCACTTATTTATGAGCTGTGTGACCCTAGGCTAGTCACTGGACTTCCCTGAACCTTTATTCACTCATTTATTTTAGTCGTTTGTTTGTTTGTTTTCTTTTCTGCTGTGTCTGACTCTTTGTGACCCCATTTGGGGTTTTCTTGGCAGAGATACTGGAATGGTTTGCCATTTCTTTCTCCAGCTTACTTTACAGATGAGGAAACTGAGGCACAAAGAGGTAAGTGACTTGCCCAGGGCCACACAGCTAGTAAGTGTCTGAGGCCAGATTTGAACTTAGGAAAATGAATATTCCTCATTTCAGGCCACTATGGCTCCACCTAGATACCCACTTAGCTATAAAAGGGCAATAAAAATACCAGTAGTATCCACTTCATGTGGCTGTGGTGGGGCTGGATGGGATGATAATGTACGTAGGGGGTTTTCTAACTCTTCGGGCACTCTATGGATATCAGCTCTTTTTATTCCATCAGTGGATACACTTGCTGCCCTACCAGGAGGCTTCAGGGAGAAACCCCTTGCCTTGGTCTGAAGAGGCCTGAAGCAGAGCTAGTGAGAAAGACAGGCTCTACGTGAAGGACAGCGCCTCATTTCAAGCTAATAAAGTTGTCAGACTCCTGGTGAGCAGAGAGTCTTGGAGAAAATCAATGGGTCCCTGAGGACATTCAGAAGGGAGAGAACATCCCTATCTATAAAGACAGGCTTCACCTAGAAGTATATCTCTATATCTGTCAATAGTTGTTTACCTAGATAGAGAACAACTCATTGACAGATTTATAGTGTGGATTTATAGAGCCTTTCAGCTGGCAGAGACCTTAAAGGTCATCCAGTCCAACCCTCTCATTTTACAGATGGGGGAGCTGAGGCCCAGGAAGGGGAAGGGACATCCTCAAGTTCTCAGAGAATTAAGTGGTTTGTGTCCCTCCCTCTCTCTCTTCTTCCACATCTTCATCATGACATCCCTTTAAATCCTTGAAAGTACTCCCCCCAGTCTTCTCCAGGAACCCAATTCCTTCAGCCAATCCTGGTATGGAATGATTTCCTCTGTAAGAAGGCAGGAATGGTAGAACTGTGTCAAACTATCAGCTTTAAGCTCAGGGGCAACTAGGTTGTGCAGTGAATAGAGGAGTGGGCTTGGAATCAGGAAGACCCGAGTTCAAATCCTGCTTTGCCACGCGCTGGGCTCCTGGCTATTCCACAAACAAGACACTCCATGTCTTGCTTTCGGACACTCTCTCTGGCTGTCCCTGTATCGACGAGAGGTGGGTTTATGTCCTATTGTGGGGCAACGGTAACTCTGGCATTGAATTTCCTTGAATGGACTAGAAATTACATTGTTACAGAACTAGAAATAAAATCTTATATGTCTAAAAAAATGATAATAGTCTTATGCTGAAAAATAATACTTCAAGAATGTGAAGGTACACTCCTTTGTGATGTTACTTGTATAGAAATAGATATGCATATAAACATAAATATCTTTTGAAGTATTGAAAGGAATATAGCACTTTATATTCTTTATCATATCACATTTTAAGGATCCAATATATTCCTATTTATTTTTCTATGCTCTGTTTTGTAGCCAGAAGTGTTTCAAAAATATCCAAATGCATAAAATAATAGTAAATGCCCTACATGGTGTGATGCTGCATTGTACATAAAACTGTATATATATTAAATTTTGTTTGTCTCAGGAAAAAAATTGAAAGTGCCTCCTCATGATTCTTGGAAGCTTCGCCAATGGGGCACGAGCCCTAGCAGGGCCTTGCAAACTAGAAAGGCTTCCAGCATGGTCTGAGGACCAGCCTTGCTAAGGGTGGAGGGCTCCACATCAAAGGCTGCCCACTAAGAACTGACTTTATTTATTTATTTATTTATTTATTTATTTATTTATTTATTTATTTTGGCGATGGTTGCTTATAAAAAAATAAGGCCTGGAGAGGTTGAGAGCTATACCACTAGAGGAAGCACTTCCGTTGCTGAAATCCTTCTTGAGATCCCGGATTTGAAACTGGAAGGGACCTCCGAGTCTACCTAGATCAATTCCCTTCTTTTAAAGATGAAGAAACTGAGGCTTGGAAAGTGAAGTATCTTGTCTGATGTTATATGGGCAGTAAGTGACAGAGGCAGAATTTGAACCCAGGTCCTCTGACTCCAAAGCCAGCGTTCTTTGGATTGTACCAAACTGCCTCGGTGGAATGTGTGTTTTTGTGGTGTTGAAGAAATCGAGGCGGGTTGTGATATGTTTCACACCCAAGGTGTTAATGTGTCTGTAGCTGGAGTCTCCATCTCTACAGGGGGCTGCAGGGGGACAGAAGGGGGCGTTGTGGCAGGGACCGGGAGCTTGGAGAGCCCGGGGCCTTGCCTCGTTTGTGGTGCACCTGAGGGAAAGGAGGACTCTTTCTCACTTTCCAGGCTGGACAGCCTGTCTCAGTCAAAGCTCCAGGCTGGTTGTGGGGGTGCGGGAAGGAGAAGGGGGTACCAGGGCAGCAGGAGGTAATGAGCTGCTCAAGAACAGTCTGGTTCCTCTTCACTCTCATAAATAATGATAATTAACAGTATTCAGGGAAGGCAGCATGTGGGAGGAGGGGCTTGAAGGGAGTCTTTAACAAACAGAAGTATCCCTCTTTTAGCATCCTCTTCCTCCCTCCAAATGCCAAGGCTGGGCCATCCTGCCAGTGACCCTACCCTGGGGATTTCTATCCCACAGTTTTGTTAGTCAGTCAGTCAGTTAACAAGCACTTATTCATTGCTCACTATGTTTGAGGCACTGTACTAAGTCAACAAACATTTATTAAAGCACCTACTACATGCCAGGTACTGTGCTAAGTGCTTTACAATTATTATCTCATTTGATCCTCACAACAATCTTTGGAGGTCAGTACTATTATTATCCCCCTTTTACAGATGAGAAAACTGTGGGAGACAGAGATCAAGTGACTTGTCCAGGGTCAGACAACTAGTAACTCTCTATGAGGCTGGGTTTAAACTCAGGTCTTCCCGACTTCAGGCCCAGGGCTCTATTTGCCGTGTGCCCTAGCCACCTAAGTGGGGCTAAGTTCAGGGGATACAGAGAAAGGCAAAATACAGTCCCTTTCCTCGTGGAGCTCACATTCTAATAGGTCATACATTAGGGGCAAAGTCAGCTTCTAGGACCTTGAATTGGGTGTACTGTGATTGAGGGGCACAAGGTTGGTCCCTTCCAACTCTTTATCTCTGATCATATGAAATAGGACTTCCGGAAAACCCCACAGTAGGAGTTCTAGCCTTTGAGCTGACCCATGCAGGTGATTATTGGGCTCCCGTGCTCTGGCACTGGGCCCCTAGGATGTGTCTGGGAAGGATGTGTGTGGGGCAGAGAGATCAAAAGTCAATTTGGGCTGAGTTGGGAGTATCTCAGCTTAGCCCAGCCTCCCTTTCCCATCTTCTGGCTTCCCCTCCCCACCCCCTGGTGGTGGACCCAGCCCTGGTGGTACTGACCGAGGACACCGGTGGCTTCCAGGCCCCCGAACCGTTGCATAGCTGCAATGGCCTTGGTCAACTCCTCCTGGGTCTGCAGCTGCCCTGTCACAGGGTCTGGTGGGGGCAGGTAACCGAACCGACTCAGCCACTCCTGTGGAAGAGGAGAGAGGGGCAGATGAGGAAGGGGCTGGGGGTTGGAAGCTGCCGCCTGGCTAAACATGGCTGCTCGGTCACTGCTGATGCTCTGCTGACCTTCATGCATTATCATGCTGACAGCTAATTTCCCAGCCAGCTGCAAAGTGCCCTGGATAATGGGAACAGAGAGGAGGAAATGTTGGATTATGTCCTGGAGACCTGCTCATCTATCTTCCCCGGGGCTGGCTCCCAGCTGCATCAGTTCCATTATAGGGGATAACTGGAGACCTCACTGGGGTGTGACTGAATACAACCCCCCACACCCCGCCCCGAGGAGGCTACAGCCCAGCAATGTCCATGAGACAAAAACTCAGACCTCCTTCTTTCTGACTCCCGCCTAGCCCTGAGCACCCTGTACCTAATCCTCTGGCCACATCATCCCAGCCTCACTTTGAGTTTCTGGAATCCATCTCCTGACTGTGGGTTCTGATCCCAAACACAATTCTCTCCCTCCCCATGCTCCTGACCGGTGGTGTCAAACCCCAATAGAAACAGGCCTCCCTGAACTGTACATAAGGCTTCCTGTGAGCTGCATGTCGATTTAGAAAATCACATATGAACATTACGTAAATTCTACTGTATTAATTTATTTTTGGTAAATATCCCCCAGTTACGTTTTAATCTGGTCAGGGCCTTACTCAGGAGTGTTGTTGGTACTGTGGTTTGACATCTCTGCTCCAGACCTCTTCCCACATTCTTGACCTCGGCCCCAGCCATACAACAGTAATGATAGCTAACATTTATTTAGAACTCAAAGGCCTATAAAACACTTTACATAGATGATTTCATTTGATCTTTACAACAATCCTGGAAGGCAAGCACTATCATCAGGCCCACTTTACAAATGAAGAAACTGAGGCTCTGAAAAAATTATGTTATTTGCACAGTTATTAAGTGCCTGTCCTTATCATATTCCTAAATAGACCATGTGCCCTCATGCTCAGCGTAGTCAGCTAAATGGCACACTGGATCAAGTTCTAGATGTGGAGTCAGGAAAACCTGAGTTCATGAAGGGTTTTAAAAGCCAGAAGATTTTATATTTGATCCTGGATGTAATAAGGAAACAGAGTTTATTGAATAGAAGTGTGTGTGTGTGTGTGTGTGTATGTAACATGGTTAGACCTATTCTTTTTAAAAGTAATATTTTGTTTTCCCCCAATTACATATTAAAACAATTTTTTAAACATTTGCGGTTTTTTTTAATAAGTTTTGAGTTCCAAATTTTATCCCTTCTTCCCTGAGATGGTAAGCAATCTGATGTCAGTTATACATGTGCAATCATGTAAAACATGCCTGTATTAGTCAGACCTACTCTAAAGATCAATTTGACAGCCGAGAGGATGACGGACCGGACTAAGGAGAGATCTGAGGCAGGCACACTCTCCCATAGGCTATTGCAATAGTCCAGGAGATGAGGGTCTGTACCAGGGTAGTAGCAGTATCAGAAGAGAGAAGGGGGCATGCTTGAAGGATGTGACAAAGGGAGAACTTGAATTGACAGGTCTTGGTGACAGACTGGCTATGGGAGAGGTGGGGTGAGAGGGAGTGAGATGTTGTAGGACTGCACGCCTGGGTGACTAGGAGAATTCCCTACAGTAACAGGGAAGTTAGGGAGAAGGAAGGGTAACGGCAAAGATGATAAATTCAGTTTTGTGCATGTTGAGTTTAAGATGTCTATGGGACAGCCATGCGGTTTGAGATGTCCAATAGGAAGGAAGGAAACAAACATTTATTAAGTGATTGCTATGCTGGTGATTACGACAGACTGGTTGCTTTATTAAGAAATTACTGTGCTAAGTAATAGAGATACAAACAAAAGCAAAAAACAAGAGAGTCCCCGGCCTCAGTGACCTTGCATTCTAATGGGAGAATATGGTGGGGGGAGGAGGAAAAGGTACCTGGAAGCCAGGAACAAAGCCTGGAGATCAGGAGAGAGGTAGGGCTGGATAAGGAGATGTAAGAATCATCTGCATAGAGATGATCATTGAGTCAAGCTGAAGAGATCGCCAAGAGAACTGGTCTACAGGGAGAAGAGAAGATGGCCCAGGACAGATTCCTATGGTGTGTATACAATATATGCAGAGCAGATACAAGGTAACCTTAGAGCACAATGAAGGCAGCCTGGAGCCTGCGCCTCATCTCCATACTGGGATAATAATGATACACTGATTCTAGACTGGGCCTGTGATTTCGTCAGGATAGAAAGCTCTTAGTGAGGATACTTCCTCTGCCAATGCCCGTCTGTACCCTCTTTATGGGGGCAGTGAGGTGGCGCCATAGTACACAGAATGCCAGGCTTGCATTCAGGAAGACTCATCTTCCTGAGTTCAAATCTGGCCTCAGACACTTACTAGTTGTAAGTCACTTAACCCTGTTTGCCTCAGTTTCCTCATCTGTCAAGTGAGCTTTATCGAAGAAAATGGCAAACCACTCCATTATCTTTGCCAAGAAAACCTCAGATGGGGTCACAAAGAAACAGACATGACCAAAATGACTGAATGACAATAAACCCTCTCTTCGACTTGTAGTCATATGTAAGAAAGCTGCCTTGGGTACTGAGTCTTGTCCAAGGTCAAATAGCCAATATGTGTCAGAGGTACGACCTGAAGGATCCCGGGTCTTCCTCTCTCTGAGGTCAGCTCTCTATCCACTAACCCACACTGTTTCTGAGGTCACCTTCACCATCATCATCACACTTCTCATTTTTACAGCATTTGAAGATCTACAAACTACTTTCACTGAAATCACAGGATCTCAAAGCTGGAAAGGACCACAGATAGCCATCTAAAATAACTCGACTTATACCTGAACTGCACCCTGCCCCTCTGTGCCACCCCCTATAATATCCTCGACAAGTGGTAGTCTGGTCCTTGCCTGGAGTCTTATAATGATAGGGACCTACTCACAACCTCTCAAGGCAGCCCCATCCACTTTGAGGCAGCTCTCGTTGGCAGGGAATTCTTTCTATCCCAACCAAAACCTGCCTTGGAAATTTATAGCAGCTCAAAACTAATATTTATTTAGCACTTACTACGTGCCAGGCACTGTACTAAGCACTGAGGAAATAAAGAAAGACAAAAATAGGGTCCCTGCCCTCAGGGAACTTGCAATTTAATGAGGGAGACAATTATATACAAACAAGATATAGACAGGATAAGTTGGAGATAATCAACAGAGGGAAGTGACTTAGGTAACAGAAAGGGAGGAATTATATTTCCCTTTTCTTGATATGAATAATGTGATTTTATAATAAACCAAAATTTTAGTCTCTAACTCCTTTGTTTTGCCTTCCTTTACCCGAGATTATGTGCAAGGGCAGCCATCAAGACAAAGAGGGTCTTCCCTGTCTCAAACCCCTGAGGTTGAAGACAGACTAGCAGATTAGGAAGTCTCTGTTTCCCCATCCTTGAAATACAACAAACTGCTCCCAAGGTCAGTGGCTGACTAGTTATGAAGGCAACCTGACCTTGTGTTTTCTCCACACTAAAAGTACACGTGAGAAATGGTTCATGTTCAGAAGCCTTCAGCCCATAGAGACGTGCTCTGTCTTTGTGCCACCTGATGCTTCTCCCTGCCTTGGCTGGTAACCATGGATGTAATAAAATCTTTTTTTGTTGTTGTTTTTGGTCTTTCAGTAGTGATCAACTCTTCATGACCCCATTTGGGGTTTTCTTGGCAAAGATATTGGAGTGGTTTGCCATTTCCTTCTTCAGCTCATTTGACAGATGAGGAAACTGAGGCAAACAGGGTTCAGTGAGTAGCTCAGGTTTACACAGTTTTCTTGGCAAAGATACTGAAGTGGTTTGCCATTTCCTTCTTCAGCTCATTTGACAGATGAGGAAACTGAGGCAAACAGGGTTAAGTGACTTGCTCAGGGTCACATAGCTAGTAAGTGTCTGAGGCCAGATTTGAAGTCAGGTCCTCTGTCTCCCGGTGAAGCACTCTATCCACTGTGCCACCCAGCTGCCCATAAAATCTTTTACCTGACATATTCTAAATTATAATGTAGTAGATTTTCTTTCTGCAACAAGTACCATATGAATGTTAGATATTATTATTTATTTTCACCCCACCCAAAGTTTTCTCCAGGCCAAACACCCCTAATTACACGAAGTAGGCCTATTTCAAGTTTATTATCCTCTGGAAACTATGTCCTAGAGGGTTTGAGTGATCTATATAGTTAGCTAGGAAGTGTTACAGCCAAGACTTGAACCGAGGCCTTTTGATCCACTATTTTTTCCACACCTTGCTTTCTATGCCAACCTAGTTACCCTTGGATCAGGGCATTTGGACTTATAGGTCAGACACTAACTATGCATTTCTGGCTTTGATGCCTTTCCTACTCTCTGTTCAGATGGAGGCTGGGCTGGAGGCAGGGGGCTGCCATAGGAAGACTGGGATGGGAGGTGGAGTTGGAGAGAAGTGTTGAAAATCTGAGGCTCAGGGGAGGGGGGGAGGGAGAAGGAGGGAGCTGGAGGATGGCCGAAGGGAAATCGATCAGATCTGGGCCATTACTTTGATTGAACTGGAGAAGGCTGGCTTTAAATCATATAACTAGAATCAGGCCATAGAATTTTTATCCCCCACAACTCCCCTTCTGCCAAGGAAGGGGGGCTCTCTAGGCTTGGGGACAAAGGCCCTTTGAGTCTTCCTGGGCTTGGAAAGCTCTGTTTCAGAGATGGCAAACACCCAAGGGGCCTACTCAGGGCTACACTGGCTGGTGGTTGGCCTGCCTAAAGGCTGAGGCATGGACAGGATGACCTCCAGGTCCCTTCCAGATAGAGGAGACTAGAATCAATTTCTCCTCTTCACAGGAACCCCTGCAGAGAATCTTTTTAAGCTAACCTAAAGGTCCCTGTGTAGGGGAGAGCAGAATTTCCCTTTCCCATTTCCCTCACTCTTCAAATCCCATTTTCCATAGCTGGCCAAATGTGCAGGGGTTTAAGCCACCCTGGC